ATAAACAACTGTCAAAAAGTGTGAGATGCAAAAGCCAAATGTTGTTCGAATCGGGCAGGAATGCCCCATATACACTCCAGGGAGTTAGGTTCGAACGAACTGTTGTAATGAGTTAGGATGAAAAATATCTCATTGTTGCTTATTAATTCGATTGTACATTTTAACCTTCCAACTTTCCTTTTTAATGACTGCTCTTCCTTGTTTAACGCTGTAGCCGCCTACGCGATATTGGTCGTGTTTAATAAAACACACCAGTCGTTATGTATTAATGTAAATATATTTAAATTAATAAGAACAAACGGAAATAAAAACTTGTTGTAGATATAACAACAATTCGATTGCCAAATTTTATTTTGTACATATTGTACATACATACATACATATGTATATCCACTTCTCAGCGCAGAATTTCGTATTTTTAAACATTTCACGTAATTGTTGCTATTTTTCATTCTTCCAATTTTTTTTTGTATTTCAATTTATCTCTTTCACTTGTTATTTTTGGATATTTTGATGTTCACGAGTGCTTCCTATACTACATATGTACTTATGTATGTATGTACATAAGGGTGGTCCTTACAAAATCAATTGAACGACTTTTTTCAGTTACACCCCCACAATCGGTCATAATACGGTCATACATATCACATATAAATTTTTCTCCCAATTCCTCTATAGATAGGTACTCATAAACTTAAAATTTAATTTTTTTTTTTTTTCATCTAATACCCAAAATCGATACTACCTACTATAGTCGAAATATTTACATATAAATGTATGTCCCGATTGGAGTCGATTAAGACGTCTTCATAGGGTAATCCGAATTTTGACCCCTGTGCGACACGCCATAACAGACTTCAATAGGGACCAAAATTTGTATGTGATATCTTCGGCTATAGTAGCATCGACGTAGGAGTTGAGGCTTAGGAAATCTGATGTACAAACTTGCTCTCTACATTTAAGTAGCACCCTAATGTATATACTTACATCCTTACTTTGTGAACATCACAGTGTGGATGCAAATCTGTGAAATTTCATTAATAATATTGAAGAAAATAATTTTTGTGCAACACATTAAACAACAGCAACGGCAACAACACAGAGACAAATCATGCCAAAAATATTCATTCAAAAATTCAATCAATTGCGAGTTTTTAATGGAAGCTGCGTATGTTTTGTTTAAAGCGGAATCGAATGTTAAAAACAAAAACCTAACAAATTGAATAATGAACTTAAAATAACGTTTTTTTTTTTTATATTTAATCCATTGGTATTTTTATGTTATTTTTTCGGCGCGTTTGCCTGCCAAACGCCAATTACATATTTCATTCATTATTATTGCGACAGGCAATGTGTTAAACTGACAATTAAATATGACGAAAGGAAAATAAGTGAATGAATATATGTATATTAGACCACACCACCCTAAAAGCAAACAAAATAGTTCGCCGTACATCCCTGAGGCAGCAATTTTTTATTTTTTTTAATAGTTCTATTGGAATAATTAGAAAAAAATAGGGCGGTACTTTAGGGTGGTAGGAACTGAAATCTGGTATGTAAATACTAAATTTTCCCCTCGAAAAAGAGCATCGATATTTCATACTTTAAAATGCGACTGTAAATACCGAAGATGTAATGAAAATTGTAAAAAGGTGATCCCTAGATTTGGCCAAAAGTAAAAATCGAAATTGCCTTGCAAAAATACTTTGGACTCAGCAGTGTCGGGCGAACTTTTTTTCTGGTATGGTCTAATGTACATACATATGTATGCATATACAACCATATGTAGATGCATGTGTATGTATATATAAGATATACAACACAAATATACAAAAAGATCGTGCAGCATCAAGTCAAATTCATAAATTGTAAATCGGGATGTTCGGAATTCAACAACTGGCCGCACATTCCAATCCAATGAACTCAAAATCGAAAATTTTTTATATATTTTTTTTTTTTTTTTTAATTTTTTTTTTTTTTTAAATACATATTTATGTATACCTACATACTAACAAAAGTGTGTCCGGTCAATAATTATATACTTTTGTTATATATTTTCTAAATATGGGCACACATCAAGTTAGCAAAACATGGCAAGAAACCTCAAAATTGATGTAGTCTTCATGGTCTGCAAAATGTTGCAGCACTTTTGAATTTTTTGTTTACTTTACTAAATATTACTCCTTTAGATTTAAAGGCCAGGTAGAGCGCATGCAGTGTAGCTTTCCACTGAAAACCCTAAGTGGGTGGTGAAACTATAGATTTGGTCATGTAAAGATTTTGACAGAGCTCCCGTAGCTCGCCGGGCAGGTGGACTCTGCTCTAGTACCCCTTACCATAACTATCTACATATGTACATACATCGTACATCAGACTTCTACCCTCAAGGGAAGGGTGGAAACTAGAAGGTTCAGAAAAGGGGCGAGTCTATCTATGTATGTACACACAGATAGCTCAAAGCTCGATAGTAGGTATGGTTGATGGTGGTATAGCAATCGTTTATTTTCTACTCAACATCAAACTGGCTCTACATAGAAGCAAATTTTATTGAATTTCATACGAAAAATTTTCAGAACTCTTTTGTTTACTCTCATTCACCTTGAAAGCCAAAAATGTAGATATATTGTTTATACACCCTGCGAGAAATAGGACTAACGACGAAGTGTTTTCATGTGAATATGTATGTAACTGTGTATGTATGTATGTATGTACTGCGATGAAAATATAAATTGTGTATTTAGTGTTTAAAATTTTTTTATGAAAGCATAGTTCATTATATACTTTGTAGCACTTGTTATAGTAAAAATTAGTCGGCTATAAAACTACACACTAAAATTTTTTCTAAAACCTCTGAATAAAAAATATGAAAATTTAATATTNGAAAAAAAAAATTTTTAAATATATTCAAATGCTTTTAGTTTTGATGAAGCAACTGAAATATTTTATTGACCTTTAAAATTTAGAGTTTTCAAATATCTGGTAACCCTGTTTTTCAAAATTTTTTACCACAAACCTACAGAAGATATCAAGTAGAAAACTAAAAAGAATTAACCACATCCATTGAGCTGTTCGTGCGTGATGTGGTTATGAAAACTTAAAATAACTAATTTTTGTATATAACAGATAGGATTATCGGTTATTTAAACACACTTAGTAAAATTTTTACATTAAAGAAGCATCATAGCGCTATTTTTTGAAGACTTCTGAAGGGATCGAAAAAAAATTTGGGTCGCCCTAATGTACATATTTAATAAGAATTGTCTTATTTTTTAAAAAGGTTTTAATTTTCAAAAGAAAAAACTATAAAATTAAAATGGTTCAAATTTTATAAATATTTTGTTGTAGAAATACTCAAAAAGAGTCGTTTTATGTTTAAAAAATCTTTTTCAACATAACATTTTTGCTCCTTACAAAAAAAAAAATAGTTAGAGTTTTCAAAAAAAGTTTAAAGTAAAAAACAAAAAAAAAAAATATAAATACATACTTTAAATATAAAAACTGCATAAAATATACAATTTTTGGAAATTGAGCAATAATCTACACATATGTGTTCCGTATTCCTTTTAAATTCCTTATACATGCGCCTCTGTTCCTATTGGGGTGGATGCTTGCATACGCAACTAAGTAAGTACATGTGTATACATATGTATATAAACAATTAGGGGAAAATACTTAAAATTTTTCGAATATCATTTTACATATTTTTCACACTAAGTATTTATAATAATTTTTGTTTATTAAGACTGTTATGGAAAAATTTGCAATTATTTTTAGTTTAGTGTAAAATTATCCATATGTATGTATGCAGATTCATCCACCAGTATCTAAATATGTAATTATGTATGTGTAGATATTTTCAGCTGTGGAAATATACATGCTTACATATACATACATACACATGTACCTACGTGCGTGCTTTTATGGAAAAAAGATATGAATGCGTAAAATTAGTGGAATAACTCTGCTACATTTACATATTTATATGTCTATGGATGATTAATAACTTCAAATATGTATTTAAAAAAGAACACAACATTTCTTTTGCGATAAAGAATCTCATTTTAGTAGTAATCGAGCTTTGAAAGCTTTCCACTGCACTAAATTGTGGCTCAATGAACACTAAAGCTTTCCACAGTCTCCTAACTTTAAAAGAGTGATGATCAGTAAGAGCTTTTACTATATGCGCGCCTATTAAAAATCTGTAGGGAGCTTTAAAAAGCTTACACCGCATTATATGTTTTGGAAGTGATTTTAAAAATCCAAAAAAAGCTCTGAAATTTTTTTACCGTGACTGCCTTAAGAAAATATTGAAAGGGAAACTCCAAACCACTAACGGGTAGAGAGAGAGAGAGAGACCTTTCACTCTGCACTTGTCTATACACAATATATAGAAAGCTGAAGAGAGCTTCGCCCGCGAGCACGGGTGGTGCCCACCACCACTATAAGCCCGTTATGGGTGAAAGAGCTATTACCATGTGCCTGTATACCTATATAGAGCTCCGCCCACAGGAAAGGCGCTATCTATACCGCCCAGAGCTTTTTTAGCTGTCTATATATTTTATATCAGCGATGGGCAGAGAGAGCTTTTACTCTGCACATGCCTATGCAAAATGTATAGAAAGCTTAAAAGAGCTTTGCCCCCGGGAAAGGTAGCGCCCATTGCCATTTTATATGGATGCACACGGAATAAAAGCTGGTTGCTAACACCTAAAATCACGGCTGAGTGAAGATATATTTTACCCTGGGCCACTAATATATATACATATGTATACAATCTAAAAATGGTTGGCACCGTTGAGGTGCCCATAGGCCAGTCACGACCAAAACCTACCCCAAGCACCCAAAAGTAAAGCTGCAGGGAGTTCAATTTTGATAGCTCTTCCTCCTCAGAAATTTTTTACAAACATAAGTATTGTGCTAACATCTGTACATATAACATATTTTCTATGCCTGTAAATTGCGTTTAAATAATTCTTCCCTCTCTCTTTCTCTCATTTCAGAAAGTCAATCGTTTCGCTCTCAAAACAGTGCCAATTGATCAGCATCTTCGTTCAGAATTACAAACTGCCGACTAAGCATTATTAACTACCATTCGGCAATTCGCTTGAGCAACAGAGCAAAAGAATGAGGGAAACTGATGGTCCACGGCTAAGGTACCGAGGGCACTGAGGTTTCTCCAACACAAGTTTGCCACACTACATGGATCGTAGAAATGGCGGCGATATTTTGGCGCCACCGCGGCCCCCAAAGCACTTACCACGTGTACATCGTCCCAGAGCACCCGAGCCAGAGACTATGCTAAGCGAAATACAAATGCAACAGGAGTGGCAGCAACAGCGGCGGGAGCAGCAACAGCAGCTAATGATAACGACGACGACGGCAGCGGCAGCAGCAGTAGCAGCGTCGACACCATCAGCGATAACGGCGACGACGACGACGAGCACCGCATCAACGCAATGTACAAATGGTAATAACCAACAACAACAACAGCAGCAGCAGCAACAACATCAACAAAATTTAAATAGCAACAATCATCCAAGTCAATATAGTATTACGAGCGTAGACCGAGGTGTTGGTACAAGTACGAGTACGAGTACGAGTCAAAATGATAACGTTAACATTTCTAATGTCGTTAATACGCTGATACAACCAGAATACGAGGACTACGAAATTCATCATTTGACGATACTGCCACAACGGCCGACCACTTTAAACCTCAACCGCAATAACAGTCACGTTAGCACTACGTCCTCTTCGACGTCGTCGTCCTCCATAACAGCAGCGAATACATTTACGAGGCGTAGACAATTACCGGCTACGCCAGGCGCTGCCGCACGACTACTTGTAAATAGTAATAATACCAGCAGCAGCAGCAGCAACGCCCGCACTCAAGCGAGCAATAACACCAACAGTGGCCTCAGTGCTGGCATCGCTGGTTTACTCAGTCATTTCCATAGCACCGAACCAGCTGCTGCTGCCACATCAGTCACGCTGGCTCAACCGCGACCCGAGTCCCAGCGGCTCACCAATGAGTATGTGGATACTCCGTTCCGAAATGCTGCAGCCAACGCTGTTATACCGAATCAACTGCAGCTACAACACGCGTCACGCGCGCAACATCCGGCGGGACAGCATGATGGCGGTCAAACGACAACGCATCATCTGCTTTTGTTGCCACAGCGTGAATTCCGTCTGCAACATCAGCAGAATCAACAGCAACAGCACCAGCATCAGCAACACCAACACCAGCAGCTGCTGCATACGACGAACCGCACGACGACGGGAACTGTGGGTTCGGCGACCATCACGGCGGGCATTGATGGCACGGACGGCTTCATACATTCGCATCATAATCACAAAACGCCCACGTCCAGCACTGTGACAGCGATAACAACCTGCCCGCATACGGGCAAGGTGATTCCAGTTGCGTCGCAGAATGGACACCACCACAGCGGTGGTGGCGGCAGTTTGGGCAGCTTCACCAGCTCGCAACAGTCATTTACGCCGGCAATCACGAAACAACCCGCCTCAACGACCAACAACACCACCAGCACCACCACCATCAGCCAAATGTCGCACATCGACAGCAACAATTGCAAATTTGCTAAAGATTTACCCGCATTCGACGACCTACTGACCATGCACAATATAGCGACGGGCATCTCCACGCCACAAGGCATGATATCCGCCGTACATGGCGCCAGTCCGCTCGGTACTCCCATCATCATTGGCGGTGGCGGCAGCGGCANCAAATTTGCTAAAGATTTACCCGCATTCGACGACCTACTGACCATGCACAACATAGCGACGGGCATCTCCACGCCACAAGGCATGATATCCGCCGTACATGGCGCCAGTCCGCTCGGTACGCCCATCATCATTGGCGGTGGCGGCAGCGNTCGCAACAGTCATTTACGCCGGCAATCACGAAACAACCCGCCTCAACGACCAACAACACCACCAGCACCACCACCATCAGCCAAATGTCGCACATCGACAGCAACAATTGCAAATTTGCTAAAGATTTACCCGCATTCGACGACCTACTGACCATGCACAATATAGCGACGGGCATCTCCACGCCACAAGGCATGATATCCGCCGTACATGGCGCCAGTCCGCTCGGTACTCCCATCATCATTGGCGGTGGCGGCAGCGGCAGCGGCGGCGACACATCATCCTTAAATCAAATCATCTGCCCACGTTGCGGTCATTGCCGTTGCGAACAGTGCCAAAGTCCACCACATCTACCGCAAACGTGGCTCTGCAATAAGACCTGCCTCTGCAGCGCCGAATCAGTCATCGATTACGTGTCGTGTCTATGCTGCGCCAAAGCGTTATTCTACCATTGCGCACGTGACAATGACATGGACTGCGATGATGGTTCCGGCACACCATGCGTCGACAATCCCTGCTCGTGTGGACCCTATAAGCGTACACAGCGTTGGGGTTGGTTGGGCGCGCTATCGTTAGTGCTACCCTGCCTTTGGTTGTATTGGCCAATGCGCGGTTGCGTCTCGTTTTGCGAGAAATGTTATGGCCGTATTGTGGGACGAGGTTGCCGCTGTCAACAGACCGACTCACCGACCAATATCATACCAATCTCACAATTGGGACTAACGGGAAATGGCAGCAGCAGCGGTACGGCAAGCATTTTAAGCGGCAACAATGGTGGCGGCGATTCGTTAAAATCGGCGGCGGATGCACACCATCATCATCATACGCATCATCATCATCATCACCATCATCATATGCGAAAAGGCGATGTGACGCCCAAGAAACGACTGCTCGATTCGAATGGCGAGTACTAAGTAGTTAGTATGTGTAGAAAGAAAAAGGGTAGCAGAAAATGATGAGAATATGTATGTATGTATGTACTACACATGTATGTTAGGGAATATGCCATTTACATGTAGATACATACAAACATACAAACATACATATAACATAGAAGAAAACTAGCGTACTACCGAGTAACGAGTACCGAGTACCGTGTACCGAGTTGGATTCGAAACGGAAACGAAATGTGCAGCAACAGTAAAAGCTGAAGATGAAGATGAAGAACCACTGCTGGCGGTGGGTTGTGGCGAGTGCTAGGTATTTAGGCAACAGTGTAGTGAAGTGCATACGTGAGCGGTGGTAGTAGAGCTAGTTTTGCGAGCAGATCAGCTGTTTCGGTTACATATGTATGTATGTACACTTGCAGGAGAACACATTCAACCTTCTGAGCAACAGTATTTTAATGTACAATGACTTGCATTTAGCATACGCAGTTGATTTCCGGTTACGCCTTCGAATTCGCTGTCTCTCTGTCTCTCTCTCTCTCTCCCTCTCTATCTTTCACCCAAGCTGTGTACCGGTGAGCACACTTGCGCGCGACTTTAAAAAGCAGCTGTGCTGGAGATTTAGCAGAAGAAGAAGCAAAGCCAGCGCAAACGAAAAAGATAATGTACTATATCGTTAGATACTCGTATTTAAGTAAATGTTTGTAAATGATGATTATTTTTTTTTAAATAATAATGGACAAGCATTGAGGCGCACGTTTACGCAATTCTGCAGTTGAAGATATCTATGTATGTACTATATAAAAGTACTGTTATTTAGTTGCTTATTTTCAAACAATTAAATATCAAATGTACAAGTAAATTCTGACCGCTGCTGTATGTAGGGTGTGAATGAGAGAGCCCCAATGACCAGAAAGCGCCAGGCCCACCACCGCGGCAGTTGTCTAGTGAAGAGTACATAGTATAGGAGACGATGAAGAGTAGAAAGCAGGAAAGAATAAAGGAAACTAACAGCCTTATCATATCGAGTCTTAATCGCCACAAAAGCGTAACCGACATATTTTTTCAAAATTCAATTTTCATTTTGATGCAGAAATGTTCCTAAATCATCTAGATGCATTTCTGCAACAAAAAGAAAATGTTGGAAAAAAATTTCGCTTACTACGTTTTTTATGTAGCGGTTTCGGCTAAATATATAGACATATGTATGTATGTATGCGCGTAGATCCGACTCGATTTCGAGTTACATATTTACATACATGATAAGGCAGGCCGCAAAAAGTTAACTGCAAATTTTAAATTAAAAAAATATTATAAAATACAGAACGGTGGAAACTAAAACAAAAAAAAAATAGTAAACAGAAGAAAAGCTTAAAATAAGGAGTAATTAAAAGTAAAATATTGATAGGTGTCGTAAAGTAAAGGAAAATGAGAAATTCATTATTAATTAAACTATATGTTTTAGAGTAAAATTTTAATAACCAAAGACTGCAAACAGATAATTATTAATAACTAGAGATGTTAATTTATGAAAGGAAGAAGAAATGAAGAAGTGAATATGCTTTCTTATTTGATTTGTTCGATAATGCATTGCTGATGTTTATTGTACGAACGCGACTCTTTTTATTTAACTTTCCATGGAATTTTTTCTATTAAAAATTTTTTAACAAAATTCTCAAGCAGCTTTGACAGTTGGGTCCGTGAAGCACGAATTGACGCATTTAAGTAACTTTTGGCAGCTACATACATATATTGCAAAAAAATTTTTATTTTCAATTTTTTTAAATAAAATTTGCGCATTATTTCTACATAAAATATGTTTAAAATTTTATGTTATTATTTTTTTTTACTATTTCGCTTTAAATTTAATTTAATTTTTTTAACAGTTGGATCAGGGAAGCACGATTTGACGCATTTAGTAGCTTTTGGTAGCTTTTGGCAGCTTTATTTTAGAAAAAAAAAAATGGAAATTAATGCGCAAATTAAAAGTTTTTAAAGACATTCACATTTTTTTCAAAGTAAATTTTGCGCATTATTTACATATATTATAAATTGCGTTCTTAAACATCTTTCAAATTTTTTTTATTTGTTTATGTTTTTTTGACATTTTTGTATATTTATTATAAATTTTTTTGGTATATTTTTTAAATTTTTACTGCTTTTTTTTGTTATTTCGCGTTTTTTTTTTCATTTGTTCACCATCTAAGTCAGGTCGAAGTATCGCAACGTTGACATACTTTATAAAATAATTCCATTCTAAAAATATTGAAAATAAATTACAAAAAATAAACCGATTGTATATATGAAAGTGAAAACTAGGCGCTTTTAACTAGGAAATAGAGAATAGAGCAAACAGAAGGAAAGAAATGTGTGTGTATGCAAAAAAAAAACTTGGAGTTCTAAAGAAAAAATTTGAAAATTAGGAGTATTTGGTACATTTACAGGTACAAATCCATTAAGGCAATTTAGAATACGCTTTTGAAGACACTTGCTACTGAGTATGTATCTATCTTACAAAGAAGGCTTATAGTTGATAAGTACACACAATACATACATACGCACACATACTGTTGTTACTTAGTAACATTTTTGTTGTTTTTTTTTAATTTAAATTTTATTATTTTTTAGCCACGCGGAAGTATGCAGAGTAAACGAAAATATGCAAGCATACCAAACAACAGTAAAACTGTGTTAGTAAAAAAAGTCAAAACGCAAAACTATTAACTTGAGTATTTGAAAACAGTTTGAACGGAAATATTTTTTATTTTTTTTTTTTGCATACAAATGGCTATCATAAAAGTGCGGTGTTTTTCAAAAGCTATTCGATTTTATGAAAGCAGCCTTAAACATTCGTTGTATGTACGTTTAATAAATACTTTGCCTATCTCACTCCACACTTCTGTTTTCTTTAGCGAAACTTCAAAAAAAGCAATAAAAAGAACCACACAAAAAAACACAAAACTAAATAATCAAAAGTAGTGAAAACAAGAAGAAAAGTAAAACATTTAATCATAACTTGAAAATTGCAGAAATATTACAAAAGGAAAAAGGTTATGAAAAAATAAAAAAAAACTTCGTAAAATGTATTTTATATAGGGAACTTTTTGTAGCTTATACAAACAAATAAAAAAAACCTTAAAAAATAAACAAAAAAACAGCGTAAATACATACGAAATTCGCTATTTACTACCACAAGAGAAGAAAAATAAATTTTTTAGCATTGGTTTTTGTAAAATTATTTTATTTTTTGTCTGTCTTTAAGCCAGTTAAGTTGAGAGTTCTTGCAATCGCCTTTATGCCACTGGCGATCAGAAGGAGCTTTTACGCTCTACGCTGCGTGCAAGGAGTTGGCTATTAACATAAATATTACTTTTCAAACCTCAGAGCTTTGAAATCAGTGAGCTTTATAATAGTGTTTATAATTTGGGCAGCTTTACTGAAATTTCGATTTAGGCAGCTTTTATCTTCGAGATATTTGATTATAAAAAAATGTGTTGGTTTAGCAATTAAAGTTATCGAAAGCTCATAATAAACTCTCGACGCAAGCTCTGTAAGTAAAATTATAACTTGTTTTTAATGCCTCAATAGAAAGGAAATTATACTCGTAAGTGTGTTCAAAAGCACTGTTGAGCAAAGGGAGCTTTTACAATATGCACATCAATGCATATAAAACAGTAACGACCAAACCATAGTTTGCGGGAAAAGCTTTTTTTAAAGATTTCAGTAAGTCAGTGGGGATCAGAGAAAACTTTTACTCTGCGTACGTCCATATAAAATTCAAAGAAAGCTTTAAAAAGTTTCTCCAGCGACGCTTGTTTTGATAGATGTTGAATGAGCGCGCACGAGATAAAAGCTCTTTCTAGACTGATATATGTAACAGAACAGGAAGCTTAAGAAATATCTATACGCGGATCGGTCTTAGAAGTGATGCATAATTGTTTAACTCTTGTTTTTTTTTACTGTTTATTTTAGCCAAACTGCAAAAGTTTGCAAAAGCATAAAATTTCGGTACTGGTAGCTTATTTTATGCAATTTCTTTTTTTATAAAAGATTTTTTAATTAAAATATTTACATTTATGAAGATTGTAGAATAGACATGCATTATATTTTTGGCTATTTAAGGAGCTTTCATACATACGTTGCCGGCGTCGGTTCGCATTAGATTCGCAAAGGCGGTTAGCAAGAACAATTTATTGGCATTTTATTATCAGTAGATTTGACGAGGTTTTGCCCAAAACCGAACTGAGAAAATGAAAATTTTTAAATCAAACACCAATTAATGAGTCCACTCAAGCAAAAAATCATCCTTAATCTTTGAGATGTAAATTAGTTAAAGACAGATACGAACTGTAAATTATTTTATTGTAATAGTTAATAGTATATGAAACTAAAACTACTAAACTTATTTATACTTGCAGATGTATATTACTATATATATATAAATACCTATATATAAATGTCACTATTAAAAATTAGAAATACTAAATAGTAATAAAATGAACAAAGCATAAAAAATAAAAAACAAGAAATCTACACTAATTTTAGTAATTAATTTTAGTTATGTCATTAAAAATTAAATACAAAATTAAATTTATGATTATAAATTTAAAAAAATAAAGAGAAAACTATATTATTGTTACATAAATGTAATTAAAAATACAAATTGAGCGATGAAAAATTTAAACTGCATATGTAATTAATGTAAAATTGAGACTAATTTAATATGTAATGTAAAGAAAAAAACAAAAACAAAAAGAAACTAAAAAAGCAAATCAATGGAAACAAAAAAACAAACGAAAAACAATTCCTTATTTTCGCAGGTGTGCAAATAATACACTGGCAAAAATTGAATTTATGCAAGCACATGCACACACACACACATGCACATACATACATATGCATGTATGTACATATGCGCACAAAAAAATGGCAGTGGAAAATTTTTTAGGCACTGTGAAGCGAATATAAAAATTAATGCCACACAAATGTGTGAGGAAAATTTTGTAACTGTGTGTGTGTGTGTGTGTGCATGAATATGATAGGAAAGTCGTTAAAATTCTGTTGTTTTGAAGACGAATATTATTTATTTTATTTGTAAAAACAATATTTTACTACTACTAATAAATAAACAAATGAAAGAAAAATAGACTCGAACCGATTGTAAATTTTTAACAAAACAAAAAAATCTAAATACCCTAATAATACATATGTATGTATAAACACACATATTTACATACATGCATATGTATGTATTATGTGGCATGTATGTATGTAAACTATAATAACACCAGATAAAAAGAAGAAGAAAAAAAATCAAAGTGAAAATAACCAAATTGATTCCACACACACACACACGCGTAAACATGCATACATACATATATACCAGTAAATATACATACATAGCACATATACAAAACGACCCCCATACAAACAAACAAACATGCATACATACATACATACTAAAGTTAATAAGAATGATGTTAATGATGATGCACTCATAGAGTTGAAGAGATGATTATTATTATTAAATACGAAATAAATACGCAAAAAAATCATAAAATACTAAAATTTAAATCTATTGCATTTTTATTTATTTTCTGGTACCTCTTTGTACATTTTTCTTTCGCTATAAAAAGGATTACCGCATCTTTGCAAGTAAGTATGTATGTCCTACCCAGGCGTGTCATCACCTACACAATTATTCTTATTTTTAACTCGCGCTACACATCTTTTTTAGCCGTCTACACTTAGATTTCCTGCCAATGGTTTGGGCAGGAAAACAGATGGCAGCCTCGCTACTTCAAGCTTGAAGGAGGCATCCCAGTGGCCACCTGTAAGCTAAAGACACAATTGTGAATAAAAAAAAATTATAGGTTCCGGAAGGCAATTTTATCACAACAAACACAAACGGGCAGGAGTGCAAAGCAGACAAAAACACTCCACCTGATAGTATTGACATCTATACAGATGGCTCAAAACTCGACCGAAAGTTGGAAGAAGGCGTTTTCTCACGAAACCAATATTTTTTAGGTTACCAGACCAGTGCAGCATATTCCAAGCTGAAGTTTTAGTATGCAAAGAGGCTGTTGAGAAGCTAGAAACCGAAATGATGGGCTTCTTTTTAGTAATAGCCAGGCTGCTCTTTCACGTTCATAATTCACCTCACTTGGGTGCCTGGTCATAGAGACAGAAGCCTGGTTTTCATTGGCTCATATTTGACGTCAAATGTTGTCAAAATAATGAAAACGGGTTGTCATCTGGTGTCATTTGCGTGAAAACGGCATTGGTATACCATATGCCACTTACAAGCTGCTGCTCAGAGAAGAAATTTGGAGTCAAAGTACGCCTTGTCGAATTTCCCGGCAGAAAAGACCTAAATGGGATCGGAAGTAGGGATCTCGGAATGGCATCCATGCATCGAATATTGTCCACCCGATATATAAATAGTCGATGTATCGATGCATCAATACATCGATGTTTTTCGAAAACTGACATCTCTAAGACATCGAGCCGCCATTTCAGTTTTTCAATTGTGCAAGAAAGAGAAGGGAGTTTGGCCAAAAGATAGAAATTGCTCTAAAAAGCTCCGTTATAATATCTGAAAAATTGTATGCAGTTCGATGCATCGATGTATGCCCTTCGATATAAGGAAAACTTTCGATGTGCTTTTCGATTCATCGAATCAAAGAAATACATCGATGTACTGACATTCCTAATCGAAAGCGGTCACGAAGAGTATACATACTGTCTGAGAAAAGAGGAT